ATACGATTATGCATTGACTTTGAAAACATCCATTTATTGAACTTTAAAACAAATACAAATAATAATTTGAACAGTATCTTTTTAACTGTTGATTACCCTGAACGTATAATTCAACTGAAAAACCAATACAAAAAATAAATAAATTATACATTTATATTTACATTTAAATAAATAATATCAAAATAATAAATACCAATAAACAAGATCAACAAATATTTTGGAGCGCACTTCAACAAGCTATTAAACATATATAAATATGATGAATACAAATTAATTAGATCAAATATGTTGCAGTGCACTGTCACAACCTAGCAAAGCAAAATAATCGTTTTTTTCGATTATGTTGTTTTCGTAATTGTGGCAGGCCAAAATCGTAATTGCGATTAAAATACGATTAATTGCACAGCCCTACTGGATGGTGTTGAAGGCCCCCAGCCTTCTCCAGGTGGGAGAGGGACCTCTGCAGCAGGTAGATGACGGCATCATCCACCCCGATGGCAGGCTGGTAGGCGAACTGCAGCGGGTCCATTGATGGTTTATAGCCTAGCGTTAGCTTTTTACTTCTGGAGATTGCATTTACACTTCAAAAATCATAAAGTGATATGTGGAGATTATTCTGCTGAACATAACATATAAGTATCATAAACATGTGTTTGCCACAGATCTTGTTTTCCCTGATATTCTACGATCCAATTAATTTATCCCTTTGCTTTTTGTCAAGGGAGCCCTAGTGATGCTAACTTCTGGGTTGGCCTACTAAAATAAATCATGACGTTTGTTGTTTTATTTTACTCATTTAAACACAAATGTGGTCAAATTTCCATCAAGAGCTAAATGCTAGATTAGCTTTGGTTTCAGTCATACACATATTATATGTTACTCCCTAACCCTGCTCAGGACTCAACACTTGAATCTGTAGCCTCTTGTGCACGTGCTTGACTTTATACATGTGAAAGAAGTAGCAACGTTACTCACACACAGGGTAATGAGCTCACACACAGGGTAATGAGCTCACACACAGGGTAATGAGCTCACACACAGGGTAATGAATGTCACTGTCAGTGTGTCAGAGAGCTCATACACCATGTGTCACTGAGGCAACCATCCTTTGAGTCACACACACAGTGGGTCACACAATGGTCACACAATGGAATGAGTCAAGGCTTCCTAGTCTCATCCAAACACGCTCTGATTATATTTTCATACTAATATGTAATCAAACCACATAATAGGATCTCTTTGTAACTGAGCCACAACACGTCAATAGTAGGCCCCAGAGATGGGAAGTCACTAAGTACATTTACTCAAGTGTTGTGCTTCACTTCAATTTTGAGGTACTTGTACTGTACTTGAGTATTTTCATTTTATGCTACGTTGTACTTCTACTCCACTACAATTCAGAGGTAGATTGTGTACTTATTTACATTTATTTTGTTCCTTTTAGTTTCTTTGCAGATTTGGATTAATGATAAAAAATATAATCAAGTGTTAAATCAGACTTTAGTTCCACCTGGAGTAAATTCACAAGCTACCCTGCAGTATACAAAGTCATTAAAACTAGCTTCACCTTCACCAGCTTTGATAACACTTTAATGATCAATCATTATAAAACATATCATATATATTATTCTGAAATGGACAGATCTGCAAAATGACTACTTTTACTTTTGGTACTTTAAGTATTTTTTGATGCCAATACTTTTGTACTTTTACTTGAGTAACATTTTGAATACAGGACTGTTACTTGAATTTCTGCACATTGGTGTAAATAAGTACAAGATCTGAGTATACTTCTCCCACCTCTGGTAGATCAAGTAAATTATAAGTAGCTCAAAATTGTACTTGAGTACATTACCACCATTGGTAATATAGCTATAACATAAAAACACTTCCCTTTTCAATTTAACCCAAGCATTGTTTTCATGTTGGGCATAAGGACATCTGTGACCCGCTCTATCGAAATCAGTCGGAAGTCGCAACGGCTCATTTCAAAATAAACATGGATTTGAGTAAAAAAATAGTTTTTCGGGGTTCGGGTGTTTTGTTTGATTTTAAATAAACAAAGTCTTAGCTTTCAGAATATGAAACTTTTATTTCCAAAATCACACGATAAATAAATGTTTGAAGCCTGTAAAGGGAAGATGACAGGCACCTCTCACTCGCACTCTGCTCTTCCGCAGCGCCGCTCCCCCTCCCTCCCTCCCTGAAATTATGAATGTAAGGCGTATAGTAATCATAGGTAACATGGCAGGGTCCGTTACAGTTTGTTTTCATCTAATTTCAAATAAACAAAGTCTTGGCTTTCAGAATATTAAACTTGTTTCGGCAAATTTAGATGATAAATACAACTATGAAGCTTGTAACGGCATAATTACAAGCGGAGAACGGAGTAACTTGACGTCACAGCAGGCATAACAACAGCCGGTGTTTCTCGTGAGTGTTTTCCCCGGGAAACAAACACAATACACACAAACGCAAAAATACACAAACACACACACACATACACACACACACTCGCGAGCTTCCCCCAGACCAGTAATCCAAACGAAAATATCTTCCCTCCGGACTATTTTGATCATTTGCTCCGCTAATAATCAATCAGATCGATGGATTCCAGAGAAGAGGAAACTTTGAAGGCCTTTTTCTCAAAATGATGACTCGGTGACAGTCATTATATAATGTGACATATTTGGCTTAATATTTGGAGTACAAAAACAATCCTGATATCATTAGAAAGCTAGGAATCTCCTCTTGCCAACAGTATATACAACTCAAAATGTGTCTTCGGGTCAATGCGATTTCGATAGAGCAGGTCACATCTGAGGTCATATTTTAGTATAATGGGAAGTTAGCAGCTGTAACTTTTTTGAGATACTTTTTTTCTTTTTATTCTAATTTCATCTAATATTTCAATCGATCCACTACTCATCTGCTTTGACATCTTCTTGGGTGATTGGGAGCAACAATTAATTAATTAAAAAAAGTATTTGTACATCTATTTGTATTTAAAGTGGAAGACAACAAACAGCACTTAGCAATATGGCACGGTTACCGATTTAAACAACAAAATATTGTGAATTCGAAACTAGTCTGCTTTCAATGAGCTAAAAACATGTTTCTATTTCAGAAATGAACCTACTTACACCGCTAAGCTTAACACAGCTGAGGTTTCGCGTGATTATGTTTTAGTAGTCTTTACTTTACTTTTTTAGGACCCACTTCTCTTTATGACACATTAATGCCTTGGACATTTAGACGTTTAGAAGTGGGGAGTTTACTGATGTATTTTATGTTGTACAACAACATGTGAAAGTTGTGAAAGACCTTATTTCAGGCATCTAACCAAAGATTATTCCATAAAACCATTGACTTCTACATATGGAAGCCAATTTCCACCACAGAAAATAAAAAAGATATCTGGTAAGTCATAATTATGACTTACTATCTCATGATTATGACTTGAGATAGTAAGTCGAAACAATGAGATAGTAAGTCATAATAAAGAGATAGTAGGTCATGATAATGACTTACAGGATACATTCTTTTTTTTTTGTGGCGCGAATGGGCTTCCATTATTACAAGGGAACATAATGCTGCCAAAACGCTAACTAATTTCCAGGTTTGCAACTAATTTCTGCAGCACTCTGTTGGTGTAAAACTAATTCCAGCATTAAGTTGTACCTGCCAGATCCCAGCGGCTCAGTTTGAACTGTGCTGCCGCTGCAGTGTTAAATAGAGACGGAGCTCCAGCCTGAGGTCAGAGACACAAAGAACACATGGTGTGAAGTAGCCACAGGCGGTTGGGCCCACCAGTGCAGACCCACCACAGAGATTCACAAATCTCCATTTTGACCTACTTTGTAAGCTTATTTACAAGTTTATACAGTTTTATGAAAAAAGATCAACGGACCGTTTTTTAAAGTGAAGATTAAAAATAGGCTAATACAGGGATTTCATGGTTTCATGTGAACCTTTCCTATCCATCAGGATTTTCATGTTTCAGTGGTATATTTACATAAATACCAATGCTTTCTTATTGCAAGATAACAGTGGTAAAAGTTGGACTTTAGGACTTTTGCTTGCCTTTTTATTTATGAGTATGCCTCCAATAGCTTATGGCCAAGTGGTCAATTTCTGTATGTGGATGAAACCTGGGCTCCCATTTTCTCCCTATTGTATCAAAACCTCTCTGTTCCTAACCTTTGGTTCCCCCGCCTGTCCACCACAGGAGAACGTGCAAAACATAATTGTGGTAGTTTTCTAGCCAGGCTACCCTTGCTCGGCTTTGGTTCACTTGGGCATGGTGGGATCAGAAACTACACATTTAGTATTAGAGCATTTTTACAGCTGCCCCTGTCACCATGCACTAAAGCTGCCTTCACATGATACGCGATAGATGTTATAGATGTCATCTGATTTGTTGAAAGGTCGGCGGCAAACAAGGTCAAAGTTGTAATAATTTGACCTTTGAGCGCATCGCTAAAAGACAATTTCAAGTGGTGCCGAACGCAGAGGGTAGCTCTGTCCCCTAGTCAGCTGGTACCCCCCTCTCCACAGAAACATTGCTGTATTGAGCAGTGTACGGGATTTTGACACACAATGCTACGAGCAAGTTTCAATATATGCTTATTTGGTATAGATTAAACCATCCAATATTATATTTAAGTAACTAAAACCAGTGTGAGTGTGTTAACAAAAATGTAATTGGCAGCAATACAGCTAAGACCTTTTTTTTCTCAGAACTAAAAAAATGATTAAAATCCACCTTTGGTCAGATCTAAAAACAAAGAAATTGATTTAATCCTCTTCTATAGTTCTTGGTTTATCTCCGTCTATCTTCTGTAACTTTATCCATGTCTTCCTTTCCTCTGCAGTTCAATGGGAGTCCCACACTGAGCATCTCCACTTTGAAAGGAACATAAGAAAAAGAAACACTTCACTCACTAAAGAGCGACTTCCTTATCTTGTCTTATTTTTCCTCTCTCTTTCTCTCTCCGCAGCTCAGCCTATTACATCCAAGCTTGATGCGAATTGGTGGGCGTACAAGGACGTGGTGCAGGGCAGCTTTGTTCCAGGTAATAGACCATCTGCAACCTCATCCATTAGTCATGTGAATTGTCTATGTGATCATTTTATGGCTTGTTTATTCTGTAGAAAAGCCATCTTTTGCACAGCGGTCTGTCCTGGGAGAGGGATCTTTCCTTAGTTGCTCTCCCTGGCATTTCTTCTTTATCCTTCTCTGCCGCAAAGGTCTAAAAACAGAGGCTGTTGTCCGCTGTACGGACTTAACAACCCTGCATGCACATTTGTGATGTTGGGCTGTATAATATTTGGTTTATTGATATACAACATGGTGTCATAAGTACTACACTTAAGGACACATTTGAGGTACCTGTTCTTAACCCGACCCAAAATCATTTTCCTCTGCTACATTTTGGAAGCCAATTTAGTAATTTTTTGTCTAATAAATCAAGATTCTCAAATGTGAAGATTTTCTGCTTTTGCTTTAAGAAATTGTAAAATATTAAAATATCTTTAAGAATTTTTTGTTGTTGCAATTAATACACTTAATTCTACTTTTAAGTACATTTTCCTTATCGTACTTAAATATTTGAGTACCATTCTCGATCCAGTACTTGAAATTGAGTATGTTTACAGTGTGGTATTAGTACTTATATTCAAGTAAAGAATCTAAATACCTTTTCCATCACTGCCCATCACACGGTCACATTTTGGTGAAAAAAGTGTGGCTGACTAGATTTGTATTTAAAATTAAAGATATTTCAAAGATCATTTAAAAACTAGAGATGAAATATAGAACATTTCTATTGAATAGATTCATGTCAATAAAAGACCTTCAATAACCAATATTTTTCTTTTTTATAGGAAAAGCGCTATACCTAATATACCTAAACATTTAACTCGTATAGGAATAATGTTTGCTAATTTATGGCCAATGCTAATGCTCTGTACCAATGCAGGAAGTGGTGTGATAGTTAGTTTTTCATGATGCAAATGACATGCATAATTATTTAAAAAGGCGTGTGATCTGTCAGATTGTGTGTTAGTATGTGGGTTTGGAGATAATGGAGATGACCCTTCCATCCACCCTTTTACTGTCACAAGCATTTACCTCTGCCAAAGTAATGTTGGGCGACTGGAAAAAGTGACTGGAAAAAGCACTATGTAAATGCAGTACATTTTTTACAGGTTTTTTTACCATTTACCATTTTCTGATAACAGCGACTCTGTGGCTCTCCCTATACAGAGAGGGACAGAGAAAATGTATTTAAAGTTACTTTGAAATCAAATGAGTTTAATTTTAAGTTTTAATTTCAATGGGTGGCAAGTGTCATTCTATTTAAATGGGATGTATCTTTTTAGAATAGGACCGAAATGTTTCCCAATGAAAGCAAGTGTGTGTGGATGTCAAGGGTGTGACAGGCTTTCCAGGATATTTGGGAATGGCAAAAGGCTTGTCACATCAGTGAGCTCAGCCTGACTTTGACTAAAGCTTCTCAATCTACTCTCACATTACACCAGTTTTGGGGAATGAAGCGGGAATACAGTCAGCAAAAAAAAGCAAACTGGAATTTTATTCAGGTCATTGTCGTCTTTGGCTTACATCCCTGAGATCGCCCTTTCAGCCACGAGTACACTCAGGTGATTTGCTGAGATAAAATGGACAAAGCTCTTGGTCTCAGTAAAAGGAAAGTGGTGGGAGATGGGTGAAGGAGAGATGAAGAAGGAACAGAAATCATTATTCCATCTTATTTATACCTCAACAGTGTTGCAGAAAGGAGACAAATCACAAATGATGCAACCTTTCTTGCCGTAGACACTGAATGATAGATAAAGATGGCTGATAGGAAAGAGTCTGGCAAAGGCTTCTGTGGTTTGCCTATCAGCTGTTACTTTGGCAAGGTAAAATATGGACCTAAATATAAGACCGGATGCAGAATGCACCACAGATGCCATGGAACAATAGTGAGTCTTTGGCACGTGAAATGGCAACATTCATTTGTGTAGTTTATCCAACATTACCAACTGAGACAGGAACACTTTCATAAGTGGTTGGGTTCAAGGCCACTTAGTTGCTATCTGAACCCCTCTTACAATTCCCAATCCCACCTGAAGTCATTGTACAGAAATTGTTATGGGGACGTATTAGTACATTTCTGGACTGCCTCCTCCACTGTGTGGGCGACAGTCCCTGGTGGTTCCTCACAAAAGCTCAGGGAAGGGGCTTCTCTCTAACAAAGGTTGGTTGCTAAAACATTAAGTTTCATCCTAAAGTATTTTCTGTTGTTAAACAGAGAGAAACACTGTTTCAAGAATTCAGATAATGTGTAAATCCCACTTTTGTGTCGCTTGCCACAGTAACGTTTCTGTTGAGCAGTCTTCCTCACTTCCTTGTGGTACACCAAGCCATAACGAGGATGTTACCTATTCGAGGCCTCATCAGAATGGCTGTTGTAGTGTTTTATTATAAGAGATTATTTTCTTAACATCACTTTTGGACCGTCCACTGGATAGCTCACTGGTTAGAGCTGGCCCACATTCGGACAGTAAGCCTTTGACACGCAGATTGGTAACATTCATTTGTGTAGTTAATCCAACAGTACCAACTGAGACAGGAGCACCTTCAGGGTTGGTTGGGTTTAGGTCCACTTGGTTGTTATCTAAACCCCTCGTGGATCCCCCAATCCCACCTGAAGTCATTGTACAGAAATTGTTATGGGGCATATTAGCCTATTACTGTCTCATCCACTGTGTGGGCGACAGTCCTCTGTGGTTCCTCAGAAAAGCTCAGGGAAGGGGCTGCTCTGTAACAGAGGTGGGTGGCTAACCAGACATACATTAGGTTTGATCCTTAAAGTCTTTTCTCTTGTGAAACAGAGAGAATACTGTTTAAAAAATTCAGATTACGCATTCATCTCACCATTTTGTTGCTTGCCAGAGTAAAGTTTCTGGTACGGTGTCTTCCTCACTTCCTTGTGGTACACCAAGCCATTCAGAGGTTGTTACTGTCTGGAGGCTGACAAATGTAACTTGATCAGAAGGGCTGTTGTAGTCCAGGTGTTTATACCCTTAAAAACACATTTGGACCGTCCACTGGATAGCTCAGTGTTTAGAGCTGACTAACGGTAAACCTTTGACACGCAAAATGGTTACATTAATTTCGGTAGTTTATCCAACAGTAGACAGGAACACCTTCAAAAGTGGTTGGGTTTAAAGGTGTCCTATCATGCAAAATGCACTTTTTGATGTCTTTAATACATAAATATGTGTCCCCGGTGTGCCAGGGAACTCACAAAGTGTCAGAAAACAAAACCCTCTCTCTTTTCCTCCGTACCCAAATCTCTAAAAACGGGGGTACGTATCGGAAATGTGGGCTGGCTTTACACCCGCGGCCCTATCAGAAACGTCGCTATCAGAAACAATGCACAACGTGTTTTGGACATTAGCAAGCATCGCTAACACTCAGAGCTAACCTGTACTGGAGAGAGTATGTGTAAAAAAGCAGGAAATATAAAAAAGGTACTCACCTTGTAGTAAACCCGCAAGAAAAAAAGCATTTGAGCTCCATACTGTTTCAGAAATAATCCTTGAAGTGGTTTGGAACATGACATGGCATTTAATCATGGCAGCATTTACCTGCATCTGAGCAGAGAAGACAGCCTGCTCGTCACAGAACTCACTGTTTGCCTTTCCGTGCTCAAAAGGGGGCGGGGCCAGCAGCTACTGACCCAGAATCAGCCATTCTCTAACAGGGCTGAAATAGAGGGATATTAGGGATGTCTAAAATGCATGATCTGTTTGGTATTTTGAGCAAAACACATCATAGACATGTTTTTTATATATTTGTATATATCTGATACCCATAATATATGCCTAAAAATAGCATGATAGGAGATCTTTAAGTCCACTTGGTTGTTATCTAAACCCCTCTACCATCCCCCAATCCCACCTGAAGCCATGTACAGAAATTGTTACGGGGACGTATTAGCCCATTTCTGTATCATCCACTGTGTGGGCGACAGTCCTCTGTGGTTCCTCAGAAAAGCTCAGGGAAGGGGCTGCTCTGTAAGAGAGGTGGGTGGCTAACCAGACATACATTAGGTTTGATCCTTAAAGTATTTTCTCTTGTGAAACAGAGAGAATACTGTTTAAAAAATTCAGATTACGCATTCATCTCACCATTTTGTTGCTTGCCAGAGTAAAGTTTCTGGTACGGTGTCTTCCTCACTTCCTTGTGGTACACCAATCCATTCAGAGGTTGTTACTGTCTGGAGGCTGACAAATGTAACTTGATCAGAAGGGCTGTTGTAGTCCAGGTGTTTATACCCTTAAAAACACATTTGGACCGTCCACTGGATAGCTCAGTGTTTAGAGCTGACTGACGGTAAACCTCTGACACGCAAAATGGTTACATTAATTTCGGTAGTTTATCCAACAGTACCAAGTGAGACAGGAACACCTTCAAAAGTGGTTGGGTTTAAAGGTGTCCTATCATGCAAAATGCACTTTTTTATGTCTTTAATACATAAATATGTGTCCCCGGTGTAGGGGTGCATACCGGTTCCCGGTATTACCGAAATACCGGTTACTGGTGGCTACGGTATACCGTACCGAAATCAGATCCGGTTTTCGATACTTTTTTTTTTTTTTTTTTTTTTTTTTTTTTTTTTATAAAAGTGAGGCATAATATCCTTAAACTTGTGCCCAAACCGTCGAAATTACGATGTCAATTTCGCAGTGAAACTCCGCAACCAAGTCACTTTTGAAAATCTAAAGTGTGGCTGCATATGACTGCCAGTCTGAATGGTGGGGTCTGTAACCACTGCCAGTCTGAATGGTGGGGTCTGTAACCACTGCCAGTCTGAATGGTGGGGTCTATAACCACTGCCAGTCTGAATGGTGGGGTCTGTAACCACTGCAAGAAGTTTATTTCTGGGAAAGGTGGCAACACATCCAATCTCCAACCAATGCTGTCTCGTATGGCAACCAAGTACCTTTGTGTTCAGGGAAGCAGCGTGCCAAGCGAGAGAGTGTTCAGTTTAGCAGGTGAGATGCTACGCTGTGAAAGGGCCCGTTTGGATCCAGAGAGAGCAGATATGCTCATCTTCTTGAAGATGAATGCACAAAACTGAACTGTGATGGGATTTGTTTTCTTTCATCAGGCAAATGTTGATTTTAAGGATGCTATTTGTTTTATGTGCAATGCCGAGATCTCATGATCCTTTATGTGTTCTCTGGTCAGTCGAATCTCAGGTTGAATATTGATTATACTGGTGATATTTTATTTTTCCATTGACAAGATGTACTATTCCCGCCTGATGGTTGTTATAAATGATATTGCAGAATCAGTTTTCTTCATAGATAACGTGTTTTTCATTGTTTGTTCAGTACTAAAAGGTCCAAGTACCACAATTGAATTTAATATTCATTTGACACGTTAACTATATAATAAAGCGCTTCATGGGAGTAACTGCGGGATGATAAAATGTTTCCCTTATGCAACATGAAAGTATCACGATATGTATCGGTTGAGTATCGGTATCGTTCAGTGGTATCGGTATCGGTATCGGTATCGTAAAAAAGTCAACGATATGCATCCCTACCCCGGTGTGCCAGGGAACTCACAAAGTGTCAGAAAACAAAACCCTCTCTTTTTTCCTCCGTACCCAAATCTCTAAAAACGGGGGTACGTATCGGAATGTGGGCTGGCTTTACACCCGCGGCCCTATCAGAAACGTCGCTATCAGAAACAATGCACGACGTGTTTTGGACATTAGCAAGCATCGCTAACACTCAGAGCTAACCTGTACTGGAGAGAGTATGTGTAAAAAAGCAGGAAATAAAAAAAAGGTACTCACCTTGTAGTAAACCCGCAAGAAAAAAAGCATTTGAGCTCCATACTGTTTCAGAAATAATCCTTGAAGTGGTTTGGAACATGACATGGCATTTAATCATGGCAGCATTTAGCTGCATCTGAGCAGAGAAGACAGCCTGCTCGTCACAGAACTCACTGTTTGCCTTTCCGTGCTCAAAAGGGGGCGGGGCCAGCAGCTACTGACCCAGAATCAGCCATTCTCTAACAGGGCTGAAATAGAGGGATATTAGGGATGTCTAAAATGCATGATCTGTTTGGTATTTTGAGCAAAACACATCATAGACATGTTTTTTATATATTTGTATATATCTGATACCCATAATATATGCCTAAAAATAGCATGATAGGAGATCTTTAAGTCCACTTGGTTGTTATCTAAACCCCTCTACCATCCCCCAATCCCACCTGAAGCCATGTACAGAAATTGTTACGGGGACGTATTAGCCCATTTCTGTCTCATCCACTGTGTGGGCGACAGTCCTCTGTAGGTTCCTCAGAAAAGCTCAGTTACAGAGGTGGGTGGCTAACCAGACATTAGTGTTCATGCTTAAAGTATTTTCTCTTGTAGGTAAAAGTTAGTAGATACTTTCTCATAAATCTCACTTTTGTGTCTCTTTCCAGAGAACAGTTGCTGGAGCGGTGTCTTCTTCATCACTTGTTTTGTTACGCTAAGCCGTAAACAGGTTCTGACCAGAGACTGGAAAAAAGTCTTACCTTTGGCAAGTTGTAGTGTACAAATGTAGCACCTCATTTCGGACGCCCCTACCGTAGTGGGGCCGTGATCGGCACGGGGTCGGCCCTCGCTGAAAGGAAAACCCCCCGCATGACTTGATACGCCCCCTTGATAAATAAATGTAATTATAATGAAACCAGCTTTAATGGATCATGGATCCACCAGGGGGAGCAGTGATTAAAAAGCTGCCACACTGGAACTCATGTGAAATAAACAGCTGATAGATCTACAGGAATCTGATATAGCAGATATTTGTTAAGATCCATATGTCAAGGATAGGATCATATTCTGTGCTAAATAAGAGACATGTAATCATTTACAAAACATCACCATGTTTTTATTTAACAAAATAATGTTGTTTAATCCACGTTGGCGTACTACAACTACAAAAACCATCGGTTTGTTTTTTCATCAGGAAATGCAGCCCGGCTCAAACAAACGATTTTTAATCATCATCCTCATGATCATTTAATGTATCATATGTTTGCCGAATTGACAGGAAACCACTAACAAATATGAACTTGCTGTAGTCAACTTCATTAAAACTTTATTAACGTGCCTAAACTCAGTAATTCACTAAAAAGAGGTTTATTTTTAATGGAGCCTTGTCATCTCACCACGAGCAAACAAGAATATTTACTATAATATTATACTATTGTTAATAGTTTACTGTATTATTAGTGTTTAATATTACTGCTATAATAATCACACATTGAGTTCATTGTTGTGCAATGTTAAAATCAGACCGTTTTTTTTTTTGAATAGTCTGAATGAAACGGCAGCTCTCAGGTGATCAGCTGTGTGTGACTCTCTTTGTTTACACACCTAATGGCCCATCAGCCACAGCTCTCCCCCCCCTCCCTGATCTCTCTTCTCCAGCAGTAAAGTTAACTGTACTGTAGGTTTGGGTTTGCATATTTATGCAGTGATCTGTCTCTTCCTCTCTCCCGCAGACAGCTGAGCACTGTCAGACCGGACCATGGCTGTAAAGCAGGGGTTCCCAACCTTTATTGTGCCAAGGACCGGCAGTTACATTAAAAAAAAAAGAAGGTAAACACAGTGAAGACGGTGCGTAAAAAGGCACAGCTCTCGGCGCGCTGGTGCTGCACTTCTCAGAGGCAGAGTTACACGTCCCGCTGCCTCCTGATGCTGCAGCCATTTCATGAAGTGAAGGAGGTTTTCCTTCTATAAAACAGCTGTGGGCAGCAGACACTGTGAGAGTCCCGGACATTCATTCATAGATCAAGGCAGACTGGTTTACAGACTCTCCTGTTTTGCCAATCCGGTGCTTAAACAAGCTCTACACCCCTGGCCGACATGTCCTTAAAATGAAGTCCGAGTTTGAAATATATCTCAAATAATGTATGCACTGCCATTTCCCCACATAAATATAACGGTCTGCAATGAAACGGTTGTCTCCTGTGTGCTCCTCTTCCTACTTGGCGCACCAGTATTTTTCTCGTGCGCACGAGAGGCTGAGCCGCCAAATCCCATGAACATCATAAAAGCCATTTTCAACTATTTTCTGGTGAAAGTTTAACTAGGCTACTGGATGAAATAATATGACTGGTATAGGTGCGAAAATTATGATAAAATATTTTTATATATTTATATAACCGGACCGGGGGTTGGGAACCCCTGCTCTAAAATACCGCTGTCTCTTCTCCTAAGTCCTTTTGAATTCTCCTATCCACTATTCCTTAACCCTGAAAGGGTCTGTGGGCAATCGGTGTGACAAAGCTCTCCCATCCCCCCTCAGTTAACAAGAGGTAGTAAGAATCTTTGTTTCAAATAATGGGCGAGCGATCGGAATGTGACAACTCTCCCCCCCTCTTCTCCATTGCCGTGTGACGGGGTCCAAACTCAGAGGTGGAAGAAGTATTCCGATTATTTACCTAGGTCAAAATACGTGTTAGAAGTAAATGTCCTGCATTCAAAATTGTCAATTGCCCAAGTGAAAAGTATTATCATCTGAAAGTAAAATGAATCATTATGTTATTAGTATTAAATACATATAAGTATTTTTACAACTTATATTTAGAAATACTCCGTTGTAATTATTGATGCATAAATGTGTTCATCCATTCAATGTGGAATCTGCTATAATGGGGTTAATGTATGATATTACTTAATAATTAGGGCTGTCAGTCGATTAAAATATTTAATCGCGATTAATCGCATGATTGTCCATAGTTAATCGCGATTAATCGCAAATTAATCGCACATTTCTTATCTGTTCTAAATGTACCTTAGAGGGATATTTTTCAAGTTTTTAATACTTTTATCAACATATGAGTGGACAACTATGCTTTATATGTTTGTTTATTATCATTTGAACAATGACAAATATTCTCATGAATATTAAACACAACAACCTGAACATTACAAATATTCAGCTCAATTCAACCTGGAACCTCTCTCATACAATAATACAATACTGTGTGTGTGTGTGTGTGTGTGTGTGTGTGTGTGTGTGTGTGTGTGGTGTGTGTGTGTGTGTGTGTGTGTGTGTGTGTGTGTGTGTGTGTGTGTGTGTGTGTGTGTGTGTGTGTGTGTGTGTGTGTGTGTGTGTGTGTGTGTGTGTGTGTGTATGAATGTTGAGACACTGTGATGGATCGTTGGAGCTATGTGCAGCTCAAGGCATATATGCTCGAACGGGAGCTGCCTGGACGCTGCAATCATGTTGCGCGCAACTATCCGTGCTGAGTGTGCTGACTTTTCGTACAATGTCCCACTGTCTGGCTACCTGCATAAGTCAAGTGC